TTTCATGAATGTAGGATGCCATTGAAGGAAGCAGTTTACATATTCAGAGCTCAAAAGTCACTCGATTCTAAGAATAAAGATCCATATCAAAATTAAGGTAAAACTATTAAATTTTTGCTAAAATCAGAATTAATCTTTTTAGATTTTAGAGAATCAAAGGGATTAATTGCATGATTTAATGATTATTTGTATTAATAACAGGATATACAATTGAAGGATTAGATAATTTGTTAGAAAAATATTAGAAGAAAAAAATATTATTTCTCAATTAAAAAATATGAATTCATCTTTTGAAGAATATAATACACTTAATGAACAGTATGTTACAGATTATTCCAATCTACTTTATCAAAGAATATATTTATATGCTAAAATTCAAAATAGAATAAATATAAGATAAAATAGTTTAAAGATTAAGATATATGTTATAATATAGAAAGAATTATTTGATTATGGGCAATATAAACTTTTCTATGAAAAGAAATAGTAAGAGGTTAAATAGAAAAAAATAACGCTACTTTACCAGAAAATAGGTGACATAATGATTGACATAATAAATATTGACAAGATATGATTAGTTGAAAAAATTGGTTGTGTTTCAAACAAACTAATGATAGGTAGTCACTTGACATTAGTATTATGTCAACCATTATTTCTTTGAAATGTAATCTCGTGACGCTCTCAATGATTTCGATGAATGCTAAGAAACATGTGTATAACGGTGTTCATTTGGACTTCTCACGCACTCTACCCGTTCCTTCTATTTCTCAACGGAGACGAATATGTTTTTTAATTTTTATTCTCATTTTCATAAAACTGATCGCAAATTAAACCGGATTAGCTATAAAACGGGTAGCAATTTGGAATTCGAAGTCATTTGCGCTATCGAGTTTTAAAAGATTTATTCTTTTCTATGTGTATATGAATCACAGACCGACTTCGCCACTGGGATAGTGGGAAGATGGTGAAATACTCGGGGGAAGAGATGGGGAAGCCGTCTTGCACGAGGAGCGGTAGGCTTGCATTCGTTAGAATGTGAGAGAAATCAAATCAAATTTCCAGGGCAAGAGCGAAGGAAATCTCCCTGTTCGGTTCTTGAAGGTGATTTTTCCATTTCCCATTCCGGTATGATATAATATGTTATCTTTGAAGTACGATTCGATTAAGTGAAAGCCATTCTCCAAATCATTTTGAATTAGCAAATATTTTGTTGCAAAATTTCGTCATGAATGCTTTAATACTGCACATGAGGTCTCTTGCAGCGTCTTTATAGCATTTCCCAGTAGTTGAGTTCATGATTTGCTGTCTTTCTTTACTTTTAAAATATTTCTTTTCTATTGGTGAATCTTCGCTTGAAAGGTGAAAGTGCAAATTTTGATTTTATTCTTAGATTTTGAATTAATATTGTGTTGATTGTATTATAGAGCAAAAATGGTTCTAAAGAATTTATAGAAGAACTTACGGGAGAAGCAAACCAGTAATTAACAAGGGATCAGCCGCCTTACATTCCTAGACTGACATGTCTAACACTTATTAATGCAAACGTTACATTAATCATTCTTAAAGATACTCATCAGACCTACGCAAGCACTTCAGCCACAAGAGAGAGCTTCGGATGCAAAGGAGTTCGGCTTTGAAAGGGAGCACTTCGGCAGAAGAGCCTTGATGGAGATAGCGCCTCAGTTGGAAGACAATTCTTGTCTTTCTCTTTATTTTGTCCTGATTTACTGCCACATATATGCATGTAGTACCTCCACGTGGCTTCCATTAGAGGCTTCATATATGATCAGTAACAAGCTGTATAATTTTTCTAATATGACGAACGATGGGTGAGAATTCCTCTCATAATTGATAAGAAACATGTGTAAAATGGGGAAGGCGTATAATTTACTGAACAGGTCTATTCCATAAGGAAGTGAAGGTTGATATGTACCTCAGGCATATACATTGGCTTGGAGTGAGAGGCGTACATAGTCTTCTACTATTTTGTTTCAGTTACCTTTCAATAAGATGCAGTGCCAGCCCATTACAGCAGAATGGAGGACCTGAATTTTCTGCATTGCACATTCTTCAATAATTCAAACTTTTTCTGCAGCGATTTCCCTTATCTTTCCTTCATAATTTATTTTGGTTCAGGGGATGGTGGTGGGGGGTGTAATTGATTTTTTTTCTGGGTTGTATTGCAGATTCACGTCTACAGTACAGTAATGCTAATGGGTTGAAGACCATATCAACATTTTTCTTCCATCATGCAGATATGGCCTAGCTTAAACCACAAGATGTAACATCTTTCTCGCTGTGCTGAGTTCTTATATATCAGGCTCAAAGGTTGAGGTATAGTTTCAAGGATATGTTGGATAAATATGGTGAAGCTGAAATTTCTATTGAAGAGGTGACTGCAGATCTAATGAGGGACACTGGTGAGACTTTCTAATTGCTTTTAAAATTGTCAAGTTGCAAATAGTTATTTACCAAGATCTTATTGTGAGTTATTTAAAAATGTAAAAAGTTGGTTATTTCAGCCCAAATGGGCCACTACTTTTTCAATTGTATGCTTGGCTCTCCTTTTTCACCTCTATATTGATTAATGCATTTTGCAGCTATCTAATTTCTTGTAAACCTTCTGTTATTGATGTATTTCTTTTCCAGAAATTGTCGCCCTGCATTAATAAAAATATAGGAAGCCATTTAGAGTAAAAGGCTCGTTCTTTGGAGTTATTTGACAGCAATCTGGGAAAATGCCCCAAGGGGCTAACTATAACATAACATTCCTGGAAGTCCCAGTCCAGATGAATGGAGCCCTTATGGAATGTAGGCAGCTTCTCGTAAGTTTTTGGATTAAATTTTTCTGCTCACCAAGCATTTGCTCTGGTGTTATGAAGAAAATTTTAGCTGTATCATCACAATCTATGAACACTGAGTAGTCTTCTGTCCGAATTTCAACTTTCTAGAGAGACTTCATCGTAAATTTGGATTAAAAATTTCATGGATCAATGTTCATAGGTTAGGTGCAGCAGCAATAAATCTCGTCTTGAATTAAATATAAGTGGAAATAATTGATTCATTTATGGTCCAGACTTGATTCAAAATTTATAAGGATGATGTTTTGTACATTTAGGGAGTATTATATCTCGTGCTCACTACTACTAAGTCTACTATTGAGAATTTGAAACTTAGCTTAGTCTAGGTAAAACAAAAAATAAAAATTATGGGACTGGGAATTTTTCTATTGTGATTCTGATGAAATTGATTGTTGATTGCTACATTGAATCACCATCCTTATCTTAAGAAGTCGACCCCCAAACGCATGCGCACACAAATAAAACTAAATGAATTACATATTTACCTTTCCTTTTTAATGTGTCATTTCGATGGGAATCACATAATAGCTGATTCAAAGTGAACCATTTTGTGAACAATGAATGGCAGAGGGTTCTGCATGGATATAGTACATGAAGTCAGTATCTTCTATCTTTCATGACCTGTGTGGTAGATTGAACTAAGAGTATTCAATAAGATTAAAGAAAAAATGACTCATTTTGACTTGTCAAAAAGTTATGTCAAACAGGCCTTAATATGTAATAGATATGACTCACAAGTAATTGTAAGACTATTTGATGTAGGATCAATGGAAAGTTTGCAGAATGAATGGAACTTACAGCAGAGATGTATTCAGCAGGGAAATAACCACAGCAAGAAGGGGGAAGAAGAAGAGAAGAAATGGTTAGAGAAGAGAGAGAGAGGAGAGATAGAGGGAAGACAGGGAAGGGAAAGTGGGCAACAAGCCAATGTAAATAATTGTCTATCAACTGTTTTACAATTTCAATTACAACCATATAAATAACAAAACACAAATCTAATAGTCAAGGGGCTTGGGCCAAACCCATATACAAGCCCAACTAAGTAAAATAAGTAAACAATCCAATAATAAAAAAAGGTGATATCCACATCAATTCTTCTGGGGTGGAAGGAAAACTCGATTATGTTGAGTGAACAAATCACAAACGGCTGCAACCAAACTCCCAATTATAAGCAAAGTGGTTGAACTTGTGTGACGGGGGACTATCTTTCTTAAGAACCAAATATCGAAATTTCATGATTGGTAGTAATGAAAACTGCAGCTGATCCCTAAGAATATGATCCAACTAAGTGGGATGATCTATCTTTCTAATCAAGTAGTGAGACTGGACTCCAAATAGCACGTTGCACGCATTCATGCTACTCATTTTCAAAATCTTCACTTGGTTGTGCATAATGAGAAGCATAAGAAGTAAGCATTGGAGATTGGCTGTAAATAAAAATGAAGTGGGCTCTGATTATGAAACAATTCTTCTACATTAAAAATATAAGAGTTCATTTGATTGCAAAGATGAAATTTGGGTGGAAAGAAAACGAATTTCAGGGAATTGAATTGCCTAAAAATTATTTTCTTGAGAATTGTAAATTATTGTGTTTGATTGGTATACTTCTTCATGTTAAAAATGTTGAAATAAAAGTATTTTTGGTGTTCGTTTGGGTTTGTTTTATATGAAAATTGTCAATTGAAGTGATATTAGGGATGAAATTTTCCATTAAAAAAAAAAAAAAAAAATATTCAAGAAAATAATATTTTTTTTTTGTTCGTTTGGCTTTATTTTAAATGGAAAACGCCAATTAAAGGGAAATATTTTTTTACAATAATTCTTAGAATTTGTTTTCATTGCAAATAAAATAAAAAAGAAAAGGCAGCCTACCTAGAAAATCATTTCCCACCATATCCTTAAAAACCAAGAAAACTCCATTTTTTAAGAAAACCAAGAGAATGAATTACATATAAATTATTTGCTATCAAACACTATCAAAAGGTGGAAAATAGAAAAAATTTCCATTTTCCATGGAATTGTTGCACAATCAAACAGGGCCTAACTTTCATTTAAGTGAGACAACCAATCAAATAGAATTTTTTTGTATGAATGATTCGAAGACTTTTTCTTCACGTATTTAGGAAATTGGGTCGAAGGGACACTCAATGAAGTATAGTAATTATCACTATTATTCTTTATTGTTTACATATATTTCACAACTTATATACGTAGAGTTGTGAACGATTACAAAATCTAATTATTTTATTGGAATACATTTTAATTTGCCATAAATAATTCCCACTCTTATGGATAGGCTTCAATCACAGATTGAACATAATGAAACTGTTTGATTGTGTATCTACTGAATCCAGCTGCATTCAGAACATATTCCCATTCTTTAGGAGTCCTTTCTTTTCCTGTATCAGTATGAGCCATCATAATCATATCTAGATACAAGTGAACATGTTTATACTTGTCCACTTCTTCTTCGTTAATGACAATGTCCACGATGATCATTTTTCCCGTGTCTGCACGAATAGCTTCTTTGCACTTTTTCAAGATGTCTATACACTTTTCGTCGTTCCAGTCATGTAAAACTTGCTGAAAACAAATATAAATAAATAAATAATTTTCGTCTGTCTCTAAAAGCTAGTAAACCATAAAAAGAAATAACCATAAAAATCAGGTTTCTCTAGAAAGCTAACTAAGCATACCATGATGAAAACAGCATCAGCCTTTGGAACACTTTCAAACATATTGCCTCCAACATGCTCAACTCCATCATAATGTGGAGCAGCAGAAACTACATGAGGGAGATCAAAGTTAATCCCCTTAATCCATGGACAAGCCTTAACCAAAATGCTAAGAGCTGTTCCATTGCCACCACCAACATCCACCAAAGAAGTAATCCCTTCGAAAACCTCTGGATGGTGATCAAGAATTGCCGGCACTGTTATCCTAGCCATGCACCCCATTGCGTTGTCTATCAGCTTGCTATGGGCTGGATTTTCCGCAGCATAGCGCCATAGATCCTCACCATTCGCAGCCTGAAATGATGAAGCGTCGTCAGCTAAAGCCCGTGCACTTAGACTGAGCCATGGTGCAAGCATTACTGGGCTGGTCTCTAGTAGCAAAAGATCAACCATGCTATTGGCTCCATTTTTTATTAGAAGCTTGGAAAGAGGCGTTTGAGCGTAAATAATTGATTCTAATTGATCTTTATTATCATTCACTGTCTCCTTAAAGATCCCGCGGTGAATCAAGAATCTCATGATGCGATAGAGAGCAGAAGGTGAGCAATTGAGGGCCGAAGAGAGCTCGGAGAGTGTCATGGGATTCACCAAGACATCAGGTATTCCTAGATCAACAGCACACTTTACTACAGCCATTGAAGTAAAACCACACACATAATTCCAGATATCTATTTGTGCCTGGTCGCCTTCTTTTTTGCTTATTGATTCTTTCATCGTCTTTTCTTTTTTTCTCTTTCTTTTTCTTCTTTTTAATTTCTGGTGAGCGTACAAACTGGATCTACAACAAATATATAATGTTTCACTTCGTGGCTTCTTCAATGAGGGGAAGCCGTCGGTCCCACCATCCAATTCGCTCTAAGAGACAAGCATGATTCTATGGTTACTTTGGTGTACCAATCAAATTTATAGATTAATAGCTAGACTTGTTCGCACTAACAATCATACATTAGGTGGCGTCGAAACAGAAATGAAAAACAAAATGTAATGTGATATGACAAAACACGATATGACACGACACTTAAAACAAAATATTATGAGAAAGTAGTACAAAAAGGTTGGAAAATTATCTGAAAGTTTTAGCGTCTTAGAGATTTCCTTGAAACCTAGAGTATTCTTGTCATTATCAACAGAAGAAAACGTGAATAATGAGTCTTAGAATCCTAGAGTATTCTTGTCATTATCAGCAGAAGAAAACGTGAATAATGAGTCTTAGAATCCATAAATTTTAGGGGTAATTGCAGCAGAGGCTCCAAACCTTTCAAACACTAGCTAATTTTTTTCAAATATTTGATTTGTTGCAATCGTTACCTCTAACATTTTCAAATGTTACAGGTGAAGCTTTAAGGGATGGAAAACATTCAATTAACCATTAATTGATCAAAAAAATAAATTTGACCACATTGTTAATATTTTAAAAATGGCAAAATAGTAATTTTCTATTTACCAAATTAAGTTAAAAAAAACCCAAAAAAGAAAGAAAAAGAGGGGGAAAAGCTGCATCTTCGTCTTCCTCCTATCCTTTCCCCAACCTATCCAGTCCCACCAACCAAAATCAGAACTTAATAGTTCTAGTTTTTTCTTTCGTGCTGTAATGAAATCCTAAAATCCCTAGCGGCAAACTTGTAGCTGAAGGTTTCAACTTGAGAAACAAACCCCGGGGTTATCTATTCCAGGCTCTCCATTCTGGTCCTCATCTTTACATACTGTAAGATCCTCCGATAATACTCTAGAAATTGAAGATTTTGTTGCCTTTTCCAATGATTCAAAGGCCACAGACAATGACTTGGAGATTGAGGACTCACGGTTATCAAGGACTTTCAGAGATGTCTCAGTATTTGAATTCGAAACTTGGGGCTTGGCTTTCAGCGCATCTTCTTGCTTCTGGAGGTCCTGTTCGAGGGAAGAGAAATGATCGAAAAGTTCCTTCCACAAGAGCGTGCAGCTGGTCATCAGAGAGGTTTGGCGCTGAAAAGCATCGAAACTCGGCGGAGGTGAAAATGCGCAGTGATCGGGCAGTGAACCTAAAAGAGGAAATTTGAGTTTGTTATTGCACAGTTTGAGAAAATGAAAACAATTTGTGGTGCTTTTGGTTGGGAGCATGAGGAAGAAGAAGATACAGCTTTTTACTTTTTTCTTTTCTTTTTAGTTTTTTAAATTTAATTAATGTAATTATTTATTTTTGGTAAATAAAAAGTTACTATTTTGCCTTTATAAAAATATTAATAATGTGGTCAAATTTATTTTTTTTGGTCAACGGACGGTTAATTGGATGTTTTCAATCCATTGGGGCCTCGTCTGTAACGTTTGAAAAAATTAGAGTTGACGATTACAACAAATCAAATGTTTGGGGAAAGTTTGTTAGTGTTTGAAAAGTTTGGAACCTTTGCTGCAACTATTCCTAAATTTTAACACTCAACCCAACACGTTAATCTCATGGTTGCCCAATTAATTATTGGTGCACATATTCTTGTAATCTTGAATAACCAAAACTCATGAATAACGAGAATTAGTAAATTTCACGAAGCATAAGTTACATCAAGAGAGGTAGGGCAAGTAATATACCAATAAAAACATGTTTGATATGAGGAAAACGTTACTTCAATCGTCAAGGCTACGAGTTACTTGTAGATTAACACTAAATTAAAATTGCCCACAAGGATCAATGAGAGATTTTGGGTGACATATATAATTTCTTATTAGGTAGGTGGAAGAATTGTCATCTTTCTTTTGGCTTGGCTATCCACCAGAAGAATTTATAACTTACCATAAGAGCGACTCAGCAAGACAATGAAGAATTTGAACCCTCAATTCATTCGTTTCTTCAAAATTCAATTGCATATAGGAAAGGAAGTGCACTCACTGACTAAATACAGATGTTCTATCTCATAAGAGGCTGCTGTTGTGTTATGTGGACCAATTTTAACACACTCATCAATTACTAATCCATTTTAATGGTAACTTCCAGGTGCTAATTTATAGGGATGACAATGAAACTCAGACCACAGAATCAGAATTTGGACAAAAAGCTTGTTATTTTTACCTCGTAAAAATCTCAACTTGCAATATAGTTTATCTGGAAAAAGAAATAATGTTAATCAATAAGTAGTTCGTGTGGGTTTCATCTGTGTGAGAGAGAAAAAGAGAGACGGCTAAGCTGGTCAGTACTTCCCGTTCAGCGGTGGAATTTGGTGGTGGTGTTGTGTTGGAGCAAAGCAGCAGAGGCCACATCATTATCTGCATCATCCCTTTGACAGATCTATCTCCTCTCCTCATTTGCTTTTTCCTGATACTTTTTACCATAAATGATAAATGTTCTTTTGATAAATTATAGCCTAATCTTGTGTATATTTTGTCTATTAGATGAAACTTAATGAATGGAAGAGGAATTGAAAATTCGCGGAAGGGTGAAAAGCAAAGTATGAAATCTAAAATGCAAACATCTCATAGTTGGTTCAAACCACAAAACGAAGAATGAAGATGTTACGGGTTCAAGTGGATGCAATTAGAAGTTAAATGACTGAAATTCCTACAGAAAATTAGTTTAAAAAAATCAAGAATCAAATTCGGGAACCAAAACGCAAAATTTGAAAGACGATATAACTGGGGCGACCACCCAATTATAACTGGGCAAGTGCTTGCGTTTTGCCTAGAAAGTCATTTAGGACTGTAAGCAGTTTCCTTTTGATTCATACATACTGGTTGTTTGATTACTCGTAAGTAAACGAGATCGTGAATAAATAATAAAGTGGTGTGTAGAATGTTGAACCCACGAGAACTATATATTTGATCAAGTTAAAGCTAACACTACCCTTAATCGAATAGCAAAATTGAGTTGAAATTAAAAATTATTAAATCTATCAACTAACTTAAAAGCAATGTAAGAAAATTTATCAAATTTGCAAGAGATATTGCTAAGATGTAGAATTCCCATTGTTATTCCATTTTTAGTGAAATAATTAAATTGACAATTTGAAATCATTCACGTTGGTCAATGTTTCTAATTTAATTAAAAGTCTCTTTCGATAGCGATCAAATCTATTCCCTTCATGTGATCCTCCTATTTCTCGATGAAAGATGCAAACATGATAAATGCATTAATAAGTGCTAGAACACCTATTGAAACCATATAAAGCATAAATGTATATTTCTATCCTCTATCAAACCTTACAATGTTTATTATATTGTGCTAAAATTCTATTGCCTCTCTCGATGACAATAAAATTCACTAACAATTCAATTGGTGATCAAACAATTGAAAAAAAGAAGAAGATAAAAACGATAATTAACATCCACAAATAAAATTAAACTAAAGTCAAAATAATTAATTAAAAATTAAAAATATCATAACAAGAATTCATCTCATCCTAACAACGTATAAAACTAGCATAACATATTGAAATTCCAAGAAATCATATATAAGTGTTTCGCGCGGGTTAGTCGCTAACAATTAAAAAGGATCAGACGATTGTGTAAGGGACAAACCTCTTGAGACAAAGTCCCAAAAATGGGTGTTCTTTTATTGGCGATAACTTTACAATTGGAAATGAAAAACAACGTGCCTCCAAGGGGCGCAAGCACACGAGTTACTGAAAGAAAAGTGTTTAAGTCTAAAAACTAAGAAAATGAAAATTACATGTTCTCTGTTCGAGAGTTTTGGATTTGGTCCTTTGCTTCTATGTCCTTTCTCCCTTTTATACTTCATGGACGATCTCTTTGTGATCAACCGCCCTAAAAACTGCTTGATCGTCCTATAACTGCCCACTTTCTTCGTAATAGCCAACTTGTCATGAAAACTGCCTTTTTTAACTGCTGCCATTACTCTTCATCGTTCAACCGCCTTCGATTGAATTCCTTGAATCGTGGAACGTGATAGGGCTGCTTTAATAACTGCACTTCTTGATAACCACGACGCTTTATGTTTGTTAAGACCTTGGGCGACTTGAAGGTTTGGGCGAGAATAGAGTAACAGTTCTGGGCGACTGTATGACACTACATTCGCTCAGATTCTGGGCGACTTGCAAACTTGGGCGATGGCGCTACCGCGTTCTTGGGCCTCCCTATTTGGGGGGGCCTTCATCTTGATTCGTTTGATTTGGGCTTCGTTCTTTGGGTTATCTAATTTGGGGATCCTTCAATTGGGCTCCACTCCTTGTGTTGTTCGATTTGGGCTGAATTTTTATGTGTCAACAATTACCACCCCAATATGGCAGAATTAATAATAATTATTAAATTTTGCCATATTCACTTTGTGTTTCCAGCAACATTCGAAGTTCCCAAAAATTTCAATCATTGTTTTCTTCTATAACTTGAAAAGGTGCGTCGTTTTGCAAACCCTTATAAACCCCAAACACGCCATTTCACTGCACCATTAAACCACGCCTCAAATTTTTTGCGTCTCTCTCGCGATTTACTGTTCATCTTTTGCTTCCCTGCTACGTAACCCTGAAAAACTTCGTTCCTTCTCAAATGGTTGCTTCACAATCTCAAGCTGGTGACTCCTTTAGTTTTGATGACTTTCAGAAACTTCTGAGTCGCCCATACATAACTCCGAGTTTTCTCGCGCCCGCCGACGTTGAACGTAATGAGTTCTACTTGGGTCCCTTCTTCAACAATGCAGAGGCAGTTGAACAGGTGGCGGTGGGTCAGTTGTTTCCTTGCACTCAAGGCCCTCCATTTTTGAACTCTCTACCGCTGGGGCCACTTCGCGAAAGAGGTATTCGCACTTGGCCTAAATCTGATGTAGCTTTCCGTAGGTGGCATGCTCGCCTTGTGGGTCATGGTCCTACTAAGGCACTTTTTGATAGCCCTAGGATTTCTGATTTGTTGGAAATCTCTATTCGCCCCCCTACTTTTGATTCAGCACTCTTTTCGATTGCTTTGAGTTTTTGGTCTCCTGAGTATAACACCTTTATTTTCCCTCTTGGCCCCATGTCTATTACTTTAAGGGATGTTGGGGCCCTGGTGAATCTACCACCTTTGGACGATACCATTTTTCCGGTATCTTGGTTTCTGGTGGCGCCCCAAAGTTTGGTAAAAACTATACCGATTCTTATTCAAGCCTGCAAACCCTTCACAATCATTCGAGCGCTGAGCCTTCCTATACTGAGCGAGTGGCCTTCCTTTTAGTTTGGCTTTGTAAATATGTTTTGTGTGTGCTAAGCATAAAGCCCTCCCTGAGTTATTTACCTATAGCGCACGAATTGGCGCGTGGCAGGCCTTTGAATTTATGTTCTTTGTTTTTGGCTGCCCTTTATAGAGACATGGCCTCTCTTCAAGCTCAATTGAAGAATGGTGCATCTCTCACTGGCAGTGGACCTCTTTGGTTCACTCAACTGTGGTTGAGATCCTATTTTCCATTGCTTGGTGCTCCATCAATCTCTCGCTCTTCTGCTAGCTGTTATGGGCTAGCCATGGAGTCCTTAGCTCCTGTAAATATGTCCAGAAGGGACATTTTTTCATTCTTTTATTCCTTGGATTCAATCCCTTCCTTTTTCCATTTTCCTCCTTTTTTGACTTCAAACTATGTACATCCCCCTTCCACTATAGATAGCACGAGCACCTCCCTGCTCATTTGGATCCAGTTTTTAACCGGGAGGGAGCTATTTCATGATATTCTAACTGGGACCAATGCCAAGGTAGGGGTAGAGATTTATGCTCCCCAATTTTTCGCTCGTCAGCTTGGTTTCGGCCAAACTTGGCCTGTTCCTCCTTGCTATTCAAGGAACTTAGTTGACCGTTTTTATACCATTAATAAGGCGGAGGCAGAGGCTATAGATGCTCGTAATCTTCTTTTAACCAACCATTTTTCATTAGCCCCTTTCAATTCTAGCCACGCCATTCACCCTCTTTTTGAACAACTCTGGCCGTCGGTGAAGCGCAGATTATTTGCGACTGACGCCAATCGTGCCTTTCATTTATTAGACCAACCGAGCATTTCTTCTCCTCCTCCTGTTTTGGTCACTCCTTTGTCCGTTCGGAGTCCTTCTCCTTCTCGTCGCACTAAGCAGTCTGCTCGTCCATCTTCTTCTCTCCCTGCCAAGCCTACTACTACCAAGAGTGCCCCAAGCCACAAACGGCCAGCCTCAGCATCTCCCATTTTGGAGGATGATGTTGATGATGATGCCCCTCTTATCGTCAGGAGGAAGGTAATTAAGTTGGTTTACTCACAAGCATGCTTTTCCATACTTGAAACTTTTCTGTGTGCTGATGATCTTTTGAAATTCTCAGAAAAGCTCAGCCTCTCCTTCAAAGGCTTTGGCATCGACGGCTCTTGCTCCATCATCCTCCACTGAGGTTGCTTCATCCAAACCGGTTGATGAGGGGACTACGCTTAAAGAGACGTCTTCAGTCCCAAAATCCTCATCGCAACCCATGGATGAACCAACTTCTTCCCAGGGCGTCAACCCCCCAAACATCGAAGCAGAAGGTAATTCAGTCTTTTGATGTCTTACCTTTGCTTATGCTGTTGGTTTCTGATTTGTTGCTCTTGAATTTTTGCAGATACTCCTATGAGTCCGCCCGTTGTAGCAACATCTTCTCGCTCAGACAAGGGGAAGTCCTCACGAATGAAGGAATCGTTGGTGGCAGACTTGGCTGAGGACATGCCATCTTCCACGATTGTTGATGAGGTAATCTTTGCTTCACTTTTATTTCTATCTTGTTCGTTGTAGTGAGAATCTTTAATATTGGCAACCTTCTTTACAGGATGCTGACAGGATTGTGCGTTCTATCAAAGACTTGTTTGCTTCCTGGGGGCAAGTCCAGATGTCTCGCCCTGCTCCATCTGATCGTCCCACCGCTTCTTCAGAGGAAGATTTGAAGTTCCTCAAGGAGTCGATATTTGAGCACATGTCCTTCATGGATATGGACATTGGAAGGACTAGTCCTGCCAGACACAAGGATAAACTTGAGCATCTGAATGCGAATTTGGAGTAAGCACTGACGCTTCCGTCGCTTAATCTTACTGCCGATTTTAAAGCGACATTGAAGGTTATCCACTCCGAGGTCCTTTCTTTGCTGGCCAAAAATGCTGAACTAAAGGCCAAAAGTACTCAATATCTTCGAGCCGTATCTGAGAAAGAGTCTTTGCGAATGGAGATCAACAAGGCTGAGGACGAGTTGAAAGAAATCTCTTCCGAAGTCATGGTTGAAGACTCTTTGATGGTTAATCTGGCTGCTCAGATGAAGGAACTTCAAGCCAAAATGGACGACTGCAGGGCGAGAATGGCTGCTAAAAAGCGCAAGCCTCCCAAGGAATTGAGCGAACTAAGTCCTTGGTTGAGCAGTACAAAAAGTTGGAAGTTGATGATGATGTTGTGGCTGAATTAAACATCACTTCCTCTCGGCAGAACGA